TTTGGTCACTATAGGTCTAATGCCAGGCTATTCCTTTAAAAACATGCACAATATTGTAGCCAGGTATCTTCTACACTGCGCTGAGATCTATTCCTAAGGCTAATGCTCCTTCTTGGAAGTCAGGTGTTGGCAAGTGGTGGATCAGTTTTTATCCTTAGTGGGACCCACCAGTGACTTTTTTGGCCACCAGACCAAAAGCCAGAATGATAATCTTTACATTTTTATGTTTTAAAGAGCCAAAGTCCTTTAACTTTATTAATGTTAACTTTAAAAATTAGTTTATGTTAACTATTTCTTTAAGTACTACATCTTAAAAATCATTTTAACACTCTTAAAATATTGTTCTTGTTGATTTGGATTCTTTCTTCTTCTGTACTATTATTTTATTTAATTTTGTCTTTTTGTAATCTAATTCATTCTCATATTCCTTTAATTATATGTTTTTGCTAAGCTGTTCCAGGAATGTAGGATACGTACAGGTAGTCCTCAACTTATGACCACAATTGAGCCCAAAATTCTTCTTGCTAAATAAGGCAATCGTTATGTGAGGTGTGCCTCATTTTATGATATTTTGCCACAGTTGTCAAGTGAATCATTGCAGTTGTTTTAAACAAATTATGCAGTCTTCAAGCAAATCTGGCTTCCCCCATCGACTTTGATGGTCTGAAGCCAATGGGAAGGTTACAAATGGTGATTATAAGCCCCAGGAAACGTCCAGGTGTCATAAATATAAGCCAATTGCCAAGCACACTAATTTTGATTACGTGACCACAGGGATACCACAACAGTTGTAAGTGTGAAAAACAGGCGTAAATCACTTTTTTCAGTGCTGTTATAACTTCATATGGTCTCTAAACAAATGGTAAGTTGAGGACTGCCTCTATTTCAAATCTATATGTGAAGGATTGGTACACTGACCACCCACTCTTCTGAGGCCATTTCTGAGGGAGCAGTTTGCAAAAATTTCCGATCATTATGTGCCCAAAATTTTATTATCTGTATGCAAGGGATGTTATTAGCAGGTTTGGAAAGCAGTCATCAGTTTGTAGACTTCCAAAATCACCCAGAGAGAGCTTAATGAGGAGTAAGCATTGTAGATGAGTACAGAATAAGCTGCCTCTGGTAGACAGAGTAACAGGAAATATATTGGAAGATTTTGAAGAAATATGCAGAACAACATTCATTTGCAGATTCTTCACAGAGTGATGAGACAAAGAATGAAAATGGAGTCACAGGGGACTGCTTCTCTGCCCCTGTCAGCCAAAACTGATGCAAAAAAAAATTCACTGTGGGATTGTGGTTTGGAGTCATAACCATCAACATCACTTCCTAGAATTCAACCCTTCCTGGAAGAAGCAATGTTCCTCTTTCTCCTCCCCACACTCACACATGATGGAAAGCTCTGCTTTCAATTCTCTGATGAGTGGAGGTCTGCAACAAGCCAGTGCCAAGAAGAAAGAGGGAGAGAGGAGAGAGAGAGAGGAGAGACTGAGGAAGGGAAGAGAGAGGAGAGAGGGAGAGAGCAAAGAGGAGAAAAGGAGAGAGAGGAGAGAAGGAGAGAGAGAGGAGAGAGGGAGCGGGAGAGGAGAGAGGGAGAGAGAGAGACAGAAGAGAGGAGAGAAACAGAGAGAGAAAAGAGACGAGAGAGGGAGAGAGAGAGAGAATGAACTACTAAACCAGCATAACGGATGAACATAACAGATGAATTACAATGTCTATGGAGATTCTCAATCATCCAGATCATGATTGTCCCAAAGGTGGCAGAACTGAAGAAGCTTCTTGGATGAGAAGCAAAACATTTTCAAAGAAAAATACAAGAAAGCCGAGTTTGCCTTTTGGAAAAAGCACTTTGGGACATCTCTGAAGTACAGAGAACTACAAATTACATTTATTTATTCAGTGAATAAATAGGAAGAAATAATACCTTACAGAAAGGATTGGCCTTCCATAGATTCATGTTCCCCGTTGGCTGCCAAGCTGAGGGATGGTTTGCCGCTAGTCTTTTGCCTTAGCGTACTTAAGATAATGTTTTGTAGGCTGTTACTATGCTTGTTGAGAATATTGATCCACCCAAACTTGAGTGTACAACTGGTCTTCTCTTGACTGCTTTTCCTCTCATTTCAGGGCGAGATGATTGACCGCATCGAGTACAATGTTGAGCACTCTGTGGATTATGTGGAAAGAGCCGTCTCTGACACCAAGAAAGCTGTAAAATACCAGAGCAAGGCTCGAAGGGTGAGTAAGTGGGTCTGATTATCAGAAGAAGCAAGGAATTGGGGAATTTGGGTAGCCGGAAAAGGGGATGGTACTTTCACTTAATTACGAAGGTGTGATCTGAAGATAAGATAGATGGGAGGGCTAAAAAGTTAAGGAATAAACAGGAGGTCAAAGAAGGACAAGGAAATGGAAAAAAAGAAATAATGTGAAAAGCAAAGGAGGTTTGGATGGTAATCCAGCGGACCTTGGTATGGAATACATACAGGGAGAAATATTAACTTTTTATATCTTGGGAATGAATTGTTCTGCAAACCACCAGATCACTAAGTAAAGCAAGGTGAGAAGAAGGAGAATGGGCTGGCCTGCTGTTTGCTTACTAAGCCATTTTTAAATCACAGATTGTAGTTGGTAAAATACAAGGCAGGAATCTGCTCAAGTGAAAGTGTTTTCTTCCTATGGTTTACCTGATTATTTTTATGTGCCAACCTCTAGGTTTCAAATGGTGAGCCTGTCATAGTAGCATGATGAAACACCTTTTGGAGGTCAATCTTCGTAGATTTTATCCCAAGCATTACTAATACTTCTTTGTCTTTTCTCCCCCCTTTGTCTCTCTCTTTCTTTCTCTTTCTCTCTCTCTCTCTCTTTTCCATTCTGTTCTCTTTCTCTGTCTTGCTCCATGGATTTTCTTGGGTAATGTAGAAGAAAATAATGATTATAATTTGTTGTGTGGTTCTTGGTATAGTACTGGCCTCCACCATTGGGGGCACTATTGGGTTGTAAATTAAAGCAAAAAATATTAATAATATAATAATAATTTAAAAATTGTACATGCAGTGGATATAACAGCACATGTTCCAGCTACCTATAGATAAAAACAACTTTATTGGGTCAGCAAATCTAAGTTTGTTGTTCGGCATCCATCTCTTCATCCATTTTTACTCATTTGCTGGGCACCAGGGTACCACCCAGAATATTCAGGTATTCTGGGCCTCATCCAGGGCCTTGTCACGCTGTCCTTCCCACGGCACCATGGTCTAAACTGTGTGATTCCTGCCTGCCCCACAGACTTTTCTCCCCTTTCATCTCAGCGGTTAACCCCGTGGGAAGGAATGGCTCATGGTCTTCTTTTCCTACGTGGCAAGGGAGAGAGCATAGCCATGAATCAAGCATTCATCTTTGTCAGGCCATCATTTACAATACAGAGAGGTAGGAGAAAAAAAATGCAAAATACTTTAGTACTCCACTGGTATATCAAGCACTAGCTTAAGGCCACAACCTAGAACATTCCTCCTCCCCCCCCCCCCCCCCCCCCGGTCATTTAAACGTCACATAGCAGTAGTGAAATGCTCAGATCACCAGTCCTTGCTGAGGGAAAAGAAAGGGTTATCCATGCCATCAACCAATGTTGATCTTTCTTTTTTCATGAACAAAATACACCCTGGATACACCCTGTGCTGGCGGTCCTTGGGGCAACATAGCACACGATTTCCAAGAAGAGGTGTTTTTTTGTTTTTGTTTTTGTTGTTAGATTCATACTTTTCAGAAATGTCAACGTTTTCATTTGTAGGTACCTGAAAAAAAAATTGAATCAGTTCTCAGGGCACAATCTACTCCCCTGCTGGCACCCTCTTCCAAATGCAGATTTTGCTGCCCTAGTATAACCAGCCTCACCCCCTTCCCTTGGCAGGAATCTGCATTAGCTCCAGGGCTAGCTAAGCCTGATGACACATTGAAGGGACCAACTCAGTTCCTCAGATATCAAGGGATGCCATCATCTTTGAGAACTCTTGTAACTCAATTTCCCAGGCGCTCTCTGTGGTGGCTCCCATGATACGCAAGGTGGAATGCAACTCTGGGAGACATTGGGTGCACCCGATTTTCCCAAAGAGTGTGCTTGAGCACCATTTGCAAGATTTAGCAGATAGATGACTACGGTGTCCGTTAAGCAATACTGCAACCATCTGGTTTATTGTGAATGAAGGAATGGAAATTTCAGCAGTTTCACACCGAGTCCTCAGGATAGCGAGAGCATGGTTTACAATCTTATCCAGAACACTAGAGACTCATATATTTAAGATTTAAGAAACAGTTATCATGGCACCCAGTCAAACCTTGGACATACTGGTATAAATTTCTGAATTTCTGCTAGTTCAGAATAGTATTGCAAGGCCATATTGTCCTTGTTCCAGCCTTTGCACCTAGGGGCCAAGGAATAATTTGTTTCACTGCTGTCTGACAATGCAAGAAATTAAACAGAAATTAAACCTGAACACAGCCTTCAATATAGAACCAAACCAGATGTGATGTCACTCACTTAGATTGACCTGGTGTTCATTTTTTTTTAACACCAATAGAAGGGTGGGATGACCTAGGTAGAGATTAAGACTGGGAGGAGGTTAATGGAATTGACATTTATGATATTTAAGATTGTTAAAGTGCCAGAAGGAATTATGACCTGGACTTCCTATTACTTTAGGAAGAAAGGATTTCCCATTTCAAATGCCAAGTGTGAGGATTCTTATGAACCTCACAGGAAAGTTGGATGTCTTCTGCCCTCTCGAATAGATCCAATTGAGTTCCCACTGCTCTCTCTGCCTTTAATCTTTTTAAAAAATGTGTATACCAGGGTCACCCACACTGACTAACATCAGATCCAGTTTGGTTTCTTGAGGACCAAAAGAAGTAGCTCTGGGCTACGATACACCTTCAGAAATATAACAGGTGCAGGAATGACTTACAACTTTGTTTTGGGTTTTTTCTAAATTCCTTTTTTTTTAAAAAAAAACCTTCTTTGCACATTAAGAAGTATAGGTTTTGCCTTCAGCTAATTTTCCCCTAGTTGGAGCAATTCATTCTCTAGAGGCCCTACATCATGTGATATTTTTGAGGCTGCCATTAATTCCAGAGTAACTGAAAAATAGGTCAGGCCTCTTGGGGTTCTGATGCCAGAAATCAATGAAAAGTTTAGAAACTCTTTGTTTTCTAATAACTCATTAAACTTGACAGTGTATGATTGCTATGTATTCTTTCATAAACAGAGACACAGAGGAAGGCCTGCGGCCTCTGTTGTTTTCACAGCAAAATATAATGGCCACAAAGGTATAGGAGGGATCCACTGATTCTACCCCTTGTAGATAGATCCCAATAGATCAACTAGAAGGTGCTGCTTCATATATTATGACAACTACTCGGCACCATTAGGAACCATTCCTGATTGCCTGGGTGCTGGTAAGGTGCCATTTTTCTTTTATTTTTACTGTGTGTCTGCCCTTGTGTGTGTGTGTGTGTGTGTGTGTGCCTTGACAGTCTTTACATTCAGCCAAATAAGGAGGTAAATGCTCAGCCTTGCACTTTCCAAGATGGAAAAGAAGGAATGCATGTTTGCATCAAGCAGGTGAAGGAAAGGAAAGGAGAGAAGAAAAAGGAAGAAGGAAAGGAAGGGAGGAAGGAAGGAAGGAAGGAAGGAAGGAAGGAAGGAAGGAAGGAAGGAAGGAGAATGGAAAGAAGAAGAAAAGGAGAGAAAGAAAGAAATACGTTCCCTTCAAGGTGGTTAACCCCCACTCCCCATGCTAGTTTCCTGTGGAATTTTTCTTCTTCATCCCACTATCTCCCACTTCCTTCCCCTTGAATCAATTAAATGCTAAAGTTGGCTCTTAATTCCAAATACATGTCAACATAGGTTTAAAATCTATTGTGCCTATTTCTCCACCCATCCAGCCTTTCTTCCATGTTCCTTTTTTTCATGAATGGAGCATCATTAGCTCCGCAAAGCAGCTCTTCTATGCAAGCAACCTGTTAGGGCAGTGTTCTCCTGACCTGAGGCCACCAGTTTGGGAGTGGACTGTGCCACGGGATTTCGCTGCCTGTGGAAAATTTGAGGGTTTTTCTTTCATGAAAACAAGAACAGTTCTGACTTCCGGCTAGGAAAGGGAAATCTTGGATCATCTTTAGGTCTTTTTGTGCTCCTACAAAATGTAGCTGATGCAGGAACAGACCCAAAGCCCATCCACCTGATTTCAAATCCATATGCACTTCAAAGCACCCTGTACAATACAAACACACACATTAAGTCAACATAGTCAACTATTGCTAGTTATGTTATGGTACTCCAAACAAAAAACAGTCAGATATGTTTATCCAAAGGAACCTCTGTGCTTTAAAACAGTGTCCCACAAGAAACCTTCTTCTATTACTAGAACGGGGGGGGGGGGTGTCTCTAAACTGGGCAAGTTTAGAGACTTGGGGAATTCTGGGAGTTGAAGTCCAGGTGTTGCCCAGTTTGAAGGCTGTTAGTTGAATATCCTAAGATGATCCTCCCCAACCTGGTGCTCTTCAAACACATTGGACTTTAATTCCCAGAATATCCAAGTTTGGACTACAGTGCTTGGGGTTGCAAGGTACTAAAGTTCAATATGGCTTGAAGGCAGCATGTTGAGTTAGGCTGTATAGAGTGAATGTACTATGAAAGAAGGAAGCAATCAAAGGGAACGTGACTGATCCTTGCTAAGTAGTCTGCAGTGGTAGGAAACGAATCCCTTTCCCATTGGCCAAAGGCGTTACTGCAGTCATTTATTGTGCCCCTTTGTAACATTTAATGAAAAGAGATACTTGTCATACCAGGATGACACAAGGTGTGATGCAAATCTGCCAGCAACCTTAACAGCAGTATAACTATGCAGTAATTTCATGGAGCATGTTTATTCCTCTCTTTATAAACACCGAGAGTCATTCTTAAATTGTTTAGCGATGACTTAAACATCGGTCATTTCCAGATTGAAATGTAAGGAGTGTCTGTATTTTTGATGTAATATGTCCACAATCACCACCAGCTATTGTTTAATATAAGCAGTGGATGTGTTACAGAATTGTCATTTTGAAATTCCTATATAACAACAAAACAATCGCGCTAGCACAATCATAGCAGCTTGGAGATGTATTTATACAGATTATTCCATTTCTTTAGGATCTTGTAGGGCAATTCCAATGCATGCTGTTTTCTTATCTTTGTAAAGTTTTCTTGAGTGTAGCTAAGAATGAGGAAGACCAGCATGAATTGTCCAGCATGAATTACTGTTCTGGACAGTTTTTGTTGGTAAGTAGATAATTCTACAGAGCTTCAGTGTTGGCAGTCTAAATAAACCCAGTGCAGAGATGAGGCTGAAATTGCATATTTTTATTATAAGGTTGATTAGGCAGAGAAAAAGTATTAAAACATACAGAGACCCCTGTAGACTTTAAAACAGTGTCCCAAAACTTTGAAGCTTGGTAACAGAGTGCTCATTAAGTCATTTCTAATAGAACATTAAGATGTTCCTAGTTCAAAATCTGGTTTGTTTGAGGAATTTTTCAACAGTAATCAAAAATATAACCCAGCTAAGTCAAAACAGATTCCACCTTCAGTGGATGTCTTTCATTTTGTATAGTCTCTTGCTAGGGGAAGCTTGTGCTGTTTCATGAGGCAGCTGGCTCTTCTCAAAATGACCCTTAAATTGACACACAGAGCCCAGGAAAAGGTGGGTTCCCTTATCTTTTTTTGACCACTTCTCTCAAGACACTGCAATTCCTACAGACAATGACAGTGCATTCCTATCTAATATACACTTCCCAAACATTTCCTTGGCACCTCTAGCTAGATAGACAACTGATGCTACTGAAGCCCAAAACTTTAGCTGTGGATAATACAGGATTCCATTCATTAGTATGAAAAAAGTGAAAAATGAGGGCCTTGGAATCCAAAATCAGAGCTGGTGATGAACTAGCAAGGAAGACCTGCAGAAAAC